CTTTTGCAAAGTTATTCTTTAGTATTGGTAAAGCTCTCTGTAATGCCTAAACAATATGATGTTTACTATTTTGTAAGAAAAAATATCATTTAAAACAAAAAATGGTTACAATGTACAACTGCATAGATGAGAGGATTCCGAACGGCAGTCAAGTTCAAGTAAAGCGAAAGCTCGAGAAATTTGATAATTTCACTGTCAATAATCACAAATTAATTAAAGATGGTGGTGGATATCTAACGGATCAATTGTTACTGTATAAAAAAGCACGTGTAGAGTTGAAGGCAAACACGTGTAGAGTGGCACAAGAAACACAACGTCGCGAGGAACGAGTGCTAAACATACAATTTACACACAAGCTCTTAATTTCCTTTTTTGTCTGTTTACTTTTTGTTAATTATATGAATTAAGCCATACAAGTTGACCACTCAAAATAAATAAATAAAACTCATGTACTTGCCAATCATTAGAAGTTTCATGTTTAGACCCACATGTTACGTCACATTTTTAAACTTAACCTCATGCATGTCCAATCTTTTTAATTTATTTTTATTTCCTATTTATAAATATGTATGTATCCGTAAATATGTACGTACGAAAGAAGTACGTATGGGTGATTTTGATATGGAGGTTTGGGAGGCATGAAATGCTAGTACTTTCACACATTTTAGTAGGCTAAGACGATGACCTCATACACATTTAACCTCACTTGAAAAAACTAAGACGACTTAAGACTCTCATAATTAAAAAAGGGTATTGCTATTTTAGTACATTATGCATGCCATTAAACCTATATAAACTATAACATACTCACGTACGTGTTTAAATAAAATCGAAAATGATACATACGTATGATGAAAATCGAGGGATCGATGTGTTCTTGAGCAAAAATAAATCAGAGCCTAATGGCGTGGGTTTGAAGCCTAACCATGCCATGCCATATTTTAATGTATGCAAAACACTTAGAATTATATTCAATGCTAATGCATCATAATTTATATTCTAGTTTTATTACAACTTAAATTAACATATCATGTTTAGGATGTACAACTTGGTGTCAAACTATATATTAGTTCTAGAAGGAATCGTCATGCTCATCGATCGCATATATATATCTTAAGATCATA